TACATAGATGTCTCTTTCGTAACTTTTGTTATTCATATCAAACGTAATTGAGAAGAAAATAGTTACATCGTGAGTATACTTACAACGCAGCTATATGCTACGAATCTCATACTTGCAATGCAACTGTGCTTTACTATTATTTTCTAAATCAAGCGGTAATTTGAGAAATTATGTAATATTTTTCGACAAAACGTCATTCGACGAAAAGTTATTCGACGAATAATCATTCGGCGAAAAGTCGTTCGACGATTTATCATTCGACTAATTAACGTTCGACCAATAAACCTTCGACGAATGGCTACGTTCCCAAAAATGGGCTTTAGATTAGGATTCAGGGCCCTTGATAACCTATAGCAAAGTTCACTCAAAACGAGTAAAAGTCTTTACATAAGCTAATCTCTCTGATATGTTTTTTTCGACCCCAATCAAGCAAGATAACAAACAAATGTATTTTATTTCGTATGACCCCCCCTTCAGTTGAGGGAACTACGTCCAAAACAAAGATTTCGATTCCTTAGTAACGTTCCATCAAAAGAGCAAAAATTCTTAAAATAAAAAAGTTGATTTCTGATTGGCCAGCTCCCGACCAATGGAACGTCAACCAAAGAAATGTATTTCGGGTTCGGATTCAGGACCCTCGATGGCCTATATCAAAGTTTCATCAAAACGGCGAAAAGCCTTAAGAACCAGTTCATGTAACCAACGACCGAAGTTGCTCAATCGATATCATCAGAACTTGCTCAATTTAAGATATATTATAAAGAAAAGAGCTTTATGACTTTTGACGCAAATCGGTTCAAAAACTATTGAACCTTCGATTCTTTTTATGACCATTATAGGAAAAGGCCTAAAACAGCCATATATATAAATGGGGGTCCTAATGCAACAATATCTCATGAATGATTCAACCAAATAAGCTGAAATTTTTTATTATCATGCATCACGATGAATTCTATTTTCCATAAAATTTTCGTTTTAAAATATTGAGCCATTGGAATTTTATGAAGCACTCAATATACGGAAAAATGTCCATTTATGGTAACTTTGGCACTTCATAAATTTTTATAGGAATTATGTATGGCTCTCAAACTTTTACTAATAATAGGAAACTAAAAGATGTATCTCTCCTGAAAATTTCAGCTATTCATATCGTTTCATTTGCTCACGGTAGCCCCGTGAAAAACGGAATTTTGATAAATGTGGAGACTTTCAAGATAGACTTTCTCCCAAGATATCGATTATGTAGGATATTGGTTATTAGAACTTGGAAGTACTCTCTTCGGGCTACAATTCTGTAAAAAAATCAGCGTGGGATCTCCAACAACGGCTCCAGGGCACTCATTGCAAAATATGAAGAAGTGAGCCTTTTTCTATGGGAAATCTACTCAAGTGCAATTGAAAATTCCTTCAAGGAAATAAGTATGTGGTATAAAATTTATGTAGTAAAAACCAGCATTAAATTCTCCATTGTCCTAAATCAAAATATCCTTTCAAAATGAAAAAAAAAATTTTTAGGAAAAATCCCCCTACCCCCCTCCAGGTCTTTCTTTAACATTTTATTCTCACAACCCCTGTACCCCCCTAGGACGATTTTTCGTAAAAATTTTTTTTTTCATTTTCCAAGCATATTCCGATAAGGAGTAAGAGAAACTCAGACGCGCATTTTTA